TATTATTAAAAGTTTTATTTGTTTCAATAATTTTACAGTAAATTAATTAAAGGGTAGTGGAGGTATAGTTCAAACCTAGGCCAATACTTAACATGATATATCAATATTATCACGTAAATCAATAATATAAGTAAATAGTTAATACTTAAGAGCCATAAGCTCAAGATCATAAAAATTATTAGGATATAACTCTTCAAAATAAATCAATTTTTTTATATCAAAAGTAGAATTAATTGAATTTAGGCACACCACATCAAAAAGTAAATCAGCACTACAGAGAAATGATTATTTAGCTCTTAAAGTTACATGTCAATCACAAAAAAATAAATAAAATAAAATTAAAATAAGAAAAAAAAACTTAAAATGATAATTGTATAATTTTATTATTTTTTTTATCTCTAGTTGTTAAATAATGCCGTGTTTTGGAAGTAAAATTAATATATGAAATATTAATTTCAAAATTATTACAAAAATGAGAAATTTCATCCAATAAACATATCCAATCCCTCTCATCTTTTATAGTTATTACCTCAATACTTAACACCAATTTTATCACATTTTTGGTGTCATGTCCCAACCTTTTCTTTGTAAGATTATAATAATTCAATTTTAATGCTCAAAGTATCAATCATTAAATACATCATAAATATAAAGTCATTTTTTTGTGTCATCTAAAAGATTTGAGGAATATAAATATAAAAAATGAAAATTTAGGAGGTACATATCTAAATAAATTGCAATTGGGTGGTAAAGATTATATAAATGCCCCAATCTTTTTTTTTTAATGTTTTTCCTTTTTGCAGAAATCGTCTCGGAATCCTACCCCAGTTTAATATGGGAGTTCCCATTGTCCGGGAAAAAAATTGAGTACGTCAAGAGGTATGTAGAGATGCGTATATAATAGGATACACGGGATTTATACGAGAATTACAAGAGGATTATTATACCTCCCGTTTAACTCCCGTGTGACGCTCAAAACATGTCATCTACTCTGAATCCGAACGCATCGACATCTCCATATACAAGACAATCATCAAACCCCAACTCATCCTCCCCATATCCTATCACCGATGTCGGCGACGTTTTTCCTCCGCCAACAAATTCAGCTGACCGTACCCCCACCGTCACCCCATCTTCCGATTTATCTTTCTTCTTAATGGGAAAGTTTGTCACAGCCTTGTCCCCTTTCAGCTTCACAGCCGCGAGATCGTACATAGATGCGGCCTCCTCAGCCGTGTCAAAGGTCCCGAGCCACAACCTCTTCTCCAGGACGAGAGAGTCGCGGATCTCAGCCGAAAACCGACCCCACGGCCGCTGCCGCACACCGCGGAATCTCTTGCGGTCGCAGCCAGGCGCCGCAGAAGGCTGCTGCATGGTAGAACGCTTAGAGGCTGGGTTGTCGAGGACGGCTACGGGACCATCGAAAGAGATTTCGAACTTCTGACGCTTTTTATGTCGTCGCCTTGCGGCGGAGTCCAACTCTTCCTCGCTGCTTGATTCGGTTGCATCGGCGTCGGTAAAGAAGATGTGGAGAATCCTCAAGGGACTGCTCCGCGGCGCAATGACCATCATGCGGCTGTGGAGATTGAGCAGTGCTAGAATCTATTTTTCTCTCTTCTTTGATTTTGATGACCAGAAATTAAATACAGCAAAAATGAAGGATTTTTGGAAAGTGACGGGTACAGAGAATATGGAGAGGGGTGAGAGGGGGGAAGCGGGAGGCGGGTATTTATGTCACATTTGGCGAGAATCTTGTTTTAGAAAAAAAATTTCAGGCAGATTTCAACCTCACAAATTGGCGGTCAATCACCAATGACGGTTGATTATTATCATTTAACCGGATGGAAAAGGATGGAGCTAGAAAAAATGACGTAATATTACGTATAGTTCGGATGTATGATTATATTGAACGTTTGAATGGTATGGGACACATATTTTTTATTTAAATAAAAAATAAAGGAGAAATCCGGCCCGCCCGGCCCTCCAGGCCCGTCTTCTTAAAGGCTTTACCTTCTAAAATTAAAATCAGGTGTTTCAGATTTTTCCTTGCGCTTAGGGCTGTCAAAACAGTTTGTTGTTCGTAAACAGCTCGTGTTCGACTCATTAAGAAGCTCGTGTTCAGCTCATTTTAGCTCGAAATACTACTCATCAATTATATATATATATATATGTATATATATATGTATATGT